GGTTACTTCGCTTTCTCATCTTTTTCTCTGCTGTACTTTAGGATGAATCCCTCTGGATACAGGTTTTCCTTTAAGCATTTCGCAACAGAGCTTAATTCTGCTTCTACCTTATTAGGTGAACATAACTTCTTGGCTCCGTCGTACAGTGAGTGTCCTTACTAATCACCGCTTATAGCTTATAGGGTAGAAACTGTTGTAGTGAAGATATTGTCCAGTTCAGGTTTATTTTCTTCAGATGGACTTTTCGATCTTTCCATTGTTTCTTTTTACATTAAGGTCCAAGAAACTGAACTCGTCGTTGTGTTCATATTCTATGGTGAATTTAATGTTTGGGTGAATCTCTTTAAGGCGGTCAAATAATATGGATGCCTGACACATGTCGTTACAAACACCAAACGTATCATCCGCATATTGTAGATAGTATGTTGTCTCATTGATAGCATCAGTCAGTCGCGTCCGTTCCAGATAACTCCTGGAGATACCGGCTAGAATAAGTCCTAGAGGTGAACTCATGTCTACCCCATCAATTTGTTGGCAGAATCGGTTATTGAATTTGAATTGTATGTCTTTTGTGCAAAGAATTAGTAGGCGCTTCATCTCTATTTCCAGTAATGGCAATAGATCTGTTTGTTTACAAACGATGTCTATTGTTTCCATCACTGGTACATTTGTAAATAATGCAGTCACGTCATATGACACCATTAGTTTATTTGATATATCGACTTGATCTACTTCTTCAGAAAATTGAAAGATATTTTCCGAGCTAAGATTTGAAAATTTGTATTGAATTGGCTTCAATGAATCAGCTAGCCATTGAGCTAGTTTGTGGCAGGGTGAGTTTATCATTAAATATATGCATTTTAAGGGCACATTGGACTTATGGATTTTTGACAGACCGTACATAGATGGGAGGCGTCCACCTTTTGATCTGAGTTCGTTGTAAGTTTTGTTCTTGATGGAGAACTCTTTGAGGCATTTATTTACTTTATTTTCAAATGATGTTGTTGCATCCTTCTTAGTTTCGTCCACCTGTAATTTTTCGGCATCGTTAGGAACTATCAATATTTTACGTAAATAATCAGCTTTATTCATTATAACAACTCTAGAGCCTTCATCAGGTGTAAACATGTCTATGTCATCATTTTCCGATAGTCTCTTTAGTGACCCTATATGCTCCTCAATAAGCATCTTCTGTCTTTCGGAAGGTGATGTGTTCCGGATGCCTTCATCTTATTATGTTTTCTCCATTACCTTTCAAACACTGAAGTATAAAACGTCATTATCTATAACCACTGTAATTTCAGGTAGTTTCAAGCTGATGAGGATCTGTGAAACAGAATGATATCATTTTATCTTGCAAATTTGATCTTTCTTTCTCTATCGAAATTTATCAAAGGAACCAAATGTATGAAATAACTTTTATTCTTTCAGGTATTATAAAGAAAGCATTGATTTGTTAGGGTGACTATTTCGTAAAATCCTAAGTACTACTTTCAAAAAGGTAAAGTTTGTGACATCTGCTGCAGGAAACTAAAGCCGAGACTCACAAGTTTTTGAAGTAACAGATATTCTGGTCTAAGAAAAAGCACAGATTTTAATACCTGCACGAGTTTACTGGCCACACTTCATAAACCTCTCATACATATAGATATCATGCAACTGTTAGTAATAGATGGTTGGAGGCAATCGGCAGGAAGCCTTACTCGACCTAGGTTTCTTGCTAGTTGGCACTCACCAGTCAGCAAGGCGTATCTGCAGTCTTGAAGGAGCTCATGTCCCTTCTGAGATTCGAACTGGCGTCACCCAGTGCCGCAGTCAGAGACGTTACCACTGAGCTATTCAGGCTTCCTACTGACTGCCTCCAACCATCTAATATTAGCAATTCACAGTGCACAGTGATGGTGAACCACTTAGCTTGGTAGCCAAATTGCAAACTTGACTGATAGAATTCAGTCTGCACTTGAGATAGGACTAGACATACACATTACACTTGTTACTGACTAGTGTCCAATCAAAAATGCATCATACATTGCATAACAGTTCCATACATAATAATTGCTTTCAAAGAAAAAGCCTAAGTTTGTATTTATTTAGAAACTTAATGTTTTTCGCATATGTCGACAGAATTTCCTCTCTTGACGCCCCTTTTAAATGCTTGTGATTCAATCCAATAGTAGAATTGTTATATTAGACTATACGTGATAACCAGTATACCAGTGTGAAGTATAGATCACGTATTCTTTGTAAAGAGAGACTTAAAGCGACAGTTTCATCTTGTTATAGGTAGTAATCACGCCTTAATCCAACACATCCTATTTCAAGAGACGATGTGAGTTGGTGGATGTCGCCTGGTTTTATAAAAACAATATTCAAAATATTGAAACTGAATTGGACATCTGATAGAATATCTGATAGAATCCGGATACTAAGCTACACCCCAAACAAACTTCAAAGTCGTCTACAGAGTAAGAAGTAGTCCTCCTAAAGGTGTACGAATCAGACTTCTTCAAACTGCAGAAGCAATGGCGATTCACTTGCTAAGTCCTGAACTCTGCATACAGAAGTTCGTTCAATCACTACACTTGCAATGGACGTAATCTATCTTATTACCCGACAAGCGAATTCTACCTAATCTTTTTTTCTGTCTCTTCATTAGTATTATTTTGTCTTCTCAATTGTAATATTTTACATTTTCAACTTTCGTGTTCTCTACCCTCACCCGATTTAATTTCTACACCTCACTACCACTGGTACTGACTTGAACGACGCTCAATTTCTAGTCATTTATGTTACGTCATCCAGTTTATTTGCTCAATTCCAGTTCCAGTTTAAATGGCATTATTTTCTACCCCACTTCTACTTAGTCTCTACCTGTAGTTACCTCTGTTGTCAAATATATTACGTCATCCAACTTACTAACTCAATCTTACTTTAGCTGCTGTCTGATTAACCTTGTTTCTATATTAGATCATTCTTGTATTAGCTGATGGATTATTTAAACTTGACAAACCTCATGTACACACACACACAAATAATTATAAATAAATGCGATTGTACAGCTATGTGAATGAATTCGCCGAAAAGAGTCTCTTCGCTGAACGTCTTCTCTTTTCCATATGAAACTGAATTCTCAGGTAGTAGTTTAAGTAGATTTAAAACCGGCTGATTGAATAAAATGAAGAAATCTGGTAGTTAAATATTAGATGTGTAGGTGTGTAACTTGTGTACAGTGACAACTACTGTAACACATAACGAGTATTATTTCTGTTTTGTCTAATGATATTCTCCAGTTTACGGACAAAGTTATTCAGCGAGTTGCCATTATTATATTGTGTATTTTTGAACTCTGACTAAATTTCAACCACAGAACATCAGTTCAAAGTGCACTGTAATGATGAGTCTCCAAAATTGGTGAACACGTTTCACACTTGTCTGGTAGAGTCCAGTTACCACTAAAGATTAAATAACATGGTATTACTTAGTCCCTGTCTTGTCAACTACTTCATAACTGACAACTGAGAAATTTGTTTGACTGAGCTGTCCTATAAAAAACGTAAATACAGTAAATTTCCGGTTGACCAATTCCTTTTATCAGCATTAGATTTTAAAAAGTGTCAATCAAAGGTAATCTGTTATTGTCTTTCACTCACTGAGTGAAATAAATCACGAAAGAATTCAATGGAATATTTACGAAAAACACACTTCTCACCAATGCACGAAAAGGAAGTAAACAAACACATTGTAATATTTTATTAAGGGAACTGAAATTAATTGAATTTTCTATTTAGAGTTGTAGATGTGATGGAGAAGATTTGTAGCTCAGGTGGATGATTTTGATGTAGTTGTGTTCTCTGAGCTGGATGGTTTATTTGAGAAGCTTTCATTGCCCTACTAGGCAACATCTATTTGTGTGTTTTAACACACAAAAACAACCAGTCACCACGTTCTAGATCACTAGGAGAGATAACTTATAAACTCATGGAGAAATTGTAACAAGCAAAGCAGCAGACACATAGGTAATGAAAACAGAACACGAGCTGTGCAGGGGAAAGTTTATTCCACGAAATCAACTTTTAAAAAGTGCGGTAGTCCAGTCTTAGAGTCTAACAGTTTTACTGGTCCTCATTAAAGTTTAAGTTCTGCAATTCTTGTATCTCCTGGTCCAGATAATTGACTTCCGAGTATCTTCCTGCAAGTAAAGAAAATAAGACGTTGATTAGTGTTTACAATATAAAGGTTTTGTTTTTATTACGAAATCTAAAAGCTCACTTCAAATTGAAGTATGCGCCTAAGATGCTGCCTAGTAGGGTAATGAAAGCTTCACAAATAAACCATCCAGCTCAGTGAACACAACTACATCAGAAACTTAGAGTTGTTCACAAAAGTGCAGCAATTCAGTTTGCCACACTCCGTAAGGTTAGAGAGAAAAGGAAATGCATAGAAACTTTAGTAAGCGGAAATTTACGAGCGAAAGAATTATTACATAGTGAGTAATCAGGATGTATTTGATCTTGAAGATTGAAAAGAGTAAATTTATTTGTGTAAGTGATAACTACTTTAAGCTATATCACCAACAGTCTCCAGTTATTCGTTTTTAGCATTTCAAAGACACCAGCTAAGAAGCCTGCATCACTGAATTCATGGACTGATGACATGCTTTGCACCTCAGCACCTCATACCAACCTTATTTTTGTTAATGTGATTGGATTTTCATTTGTTTCGCTTTTAGCCTTAGCTACAGGCTCTTAGTGTTTCAGACGTTTTCGTCTACTTATCTACACTTCCTTACACCACCCAATCAAGCATTCGCTCAATCATTTTATTAGCCATTTATTTCATTAAACAGGATCAAAGCATTAAGTTTTACAAATTCTAAGTCTTAAATTGAATACTTTGTTCTTTAATTATTTAGTTGTTTTCAGGGAGATGTATTTATAATGATTCTTTAATATTTTAACCGAAATAAGAATCTTTTCTCTCATATTTCTTTATTGTTTCAGATACACAAGTTGATCCATCCTACACTGTGACACTAACACTGTTAGCAGTTGGAGTATACTTGATACTTTTTACACTTTTATCTGGTCAACCACTAGCAATAATTGGTATATCTGCTCCTATATACATTGTTGAATCGTCACTGGTATCAGTAAGTCTTGTTGTTCTTTATTTTGATAAAAGATTGTATTATATAGTATGTATATTATTATTCGTTCCTTCAGTTTGTAGTAGAACCTCCTGGCTTCAGCAGCACATCTCCATTCCGCTGAGTTCACCATCACCACTACCTAATAGCTTCGCAACTGCCCACAAAATGTCCCTTCCTCTTCACCTGCTCTCCATGTAACCCTAGATCTCCTCAGCGTCTGCTCAACCGCGTCCCCATTTCCTCCTGTGCATTTGTTGTCTGGGAAGTTGATTGATTTGCTACACTGTCAGAGTTCCCTGTTGCCTCCCTATCCTTTTCTGTCGGTCATCTGATATTCTGTATCGAGCAAGAGAAGGCAGGTGTTGCTGAGAGTCTACAGCCTGTTGGAAATACTTTTAGTGATGCAAGCATCAAGTCTCTGAACCATATAGAATCACTGACTTGACAATAGTGTTAAAAATTTGGTTGTTGTTCCCTATGCTGAGTGCTGTAAATTTCTACACTGATTTCAAAGTAATGAAGGTCTGTCTGACTTTCCTCATCCTGGATTTGACATTTATACGTATGATTTATTGAAGCATTTAAATGAAATCAAAAATTGATTAATTAACTATTGAACTCATAATAAACTTGAAAAAAATTTTATCCATGGTTAATTCAAAAATATATTCTAATTATGAACAGGGGAAACACCAAATTTATCAGCATAATGAATATGAATTCATTATTACTATTTTGCGTATTTTTTCAGTAGCTTAACATTCAGACACTACCAAAATGTATATTACGAAACATACTTATATCGTATTCACGACTTAGTTATAGGGAATATAAGTAACATGATTACGAAACGAGGTAGGTAATAAAATCATAATTGCAATCAATAACCTACTGTCATTATGATAAAAGTATGCTCAAAAACCCTTATGTAATTTATGTATTTTGATACAGTTTATGTTGTAGGCAGTTTGTAAGAATCTGTGGAATAATAAGAATGAGCTCACATTATCCTGCTACATTTGTTATTCTCTTTGGCCAATATTCGTTAAGGAATAATTATTGTTGGCAGTATGAATACTTTCTAAATACTTTCAGAATTATCAACAGTTTTATACCAGAAAGGTGTATTACAAGTGGGACATAGGTATTCAAGCTCTGACGTTTTGGTAGCCATAATGGTGTTCAGTAAATGCGGTGGGTTTGCCAGCCTCACACCTAACCAACTATCTTTTTCGAAATCACTATTGGCGAGTTAACTAGGAAAGGTTTTGGAGTGCATCTACTGGGAATCCAACCTGGAACCCCTGTGTAGTTGGAGAGAATTCTATCAATGAACCACTAGTACAATAAAAACCACCTTTTTATTACATTATTTCGTGAAGTGGATACCTTACCATTACAGAATGGACATTGTATGCTTGTATGCTTCATATACATCTGAGTCACTATACCACACAATGAATAGAAAAGTATTTAAGACAGTTATTCCTTTTCAATAGTAATAAGATGACGACTATCATCCATCGGTTTTGATCCATACTCTATCTGGCTTTTAAATAACAATTCAAGGTGTTTATAAAATCCTAGCAAAAAAGACTAAATATTCTTATATAGATGTTTAGCGACAAGCTTCTCTTTATACCATATATCATGTCAAGGTGTACATACCACGCTGCAGTTATCTCATTCAATCTGTCGTTAAATAAGCCATTTCAGTATTCTGTCTAAATAGTGGCTTACAAAATTAACCAGTCATGAGTCAGTTAACTGCTCAGCCTAACAAAAGTTACTTGTATTAGTTCGAAAAATCTATACAACCCTCAAATAAGACTTCTGAAATTAAATTTAGCGTGTCACCACTATTCGAACAAAAATAATTCCAAATATTTCAGTTGCTTACCACACACACACACACACGCACATACTAGTCAGAAGTCCTAATTTCAGAACACAGAGATGTAAGGGACATCCAGGATATTATTGAATTCATTGTAAAACAGTTTTTAAAATATCACAGTTTGCTAATGAAATTTTAAAGGTGTTTATCACACATTAAGAAGAAAAGCATTTCCGCTTGAGTAACACACATACTCAATTCATGCCACTGAACGCAACTGGATTTTACAGTTCAGAAAATTAAACTAATATTGAAATAAAGTTTTCAACTTATGAAGAATTTATAAACGTTATAGTGGATATTAATTGGTGGATGGTGACCAGCAGTGGAGTCCAGGATGCGCATTTCGTCCTATATGGGACTCGTCATCTGGATGCACCTGCATTCCGCAGTGGGTGATGATGTTTCCACCGAGGCTCGAACCCACTGCCCATAGTTTCAAACGCCAAAGCGTTATCCACTAGACCACTTGGACCACGAAAGCTAGCCACCTCTTGTGCAACGGCTCATATTAATTATTTAATTCAATTTTTGATTTTCCGTCGATTGATTGAACCGAAGTGCTCGGTCTGAGGTTGACATGTGCAGATGCTTCGACGATGTCTGAGAACATCATCACTCACTGCGGAATGCAAATACATTTAGATGACGAATCCTAAATAGGACGAAATGTACATCCTGTACTCCACTGCTAGTCACCATCCACCAATTAACTTCTAATTAAACGTCCAGACATCGTCGAAGCATCTTCAAAAGAAGCCGACATGTCAACCTGAGACCGAGCACTTCAGTCCAATCAGTCAACGGGAAAATCTAAAATTGAATTTAATAGTTATAGTGGATACTTTCACTTTTGTTTGTTAGCATTGCAGTTTTCTTTTTTAATTGCTTCGCTAATATGGATTTATATGAAAAAAACAACCTTTTTTTAACAGCTGAATAAACACCGAAATCTATAAGTTTATTTAAAAATTCATGTTGTGAATTATAACATTAACTAGTGAACGAAAGCATATTCCTTTCGACCTCACCTACTAGTCTTACTGTTGAATGTCCATATTAATTAAGGTATAATTAAATGCGAACAACAGTTTCGTTTTTTTTAATATATCGAATTTATTAAGACTAGATAATCTGAAGGCTTTTATACCACAAAGATTTATGCGAACAGTAATATCTGAGTGAATTTTCACTTCAGTGGATTTCAAAACATGTGTGCATACGATAAATTACATAAGTTCATACAACAAAAGATTGTCTAACAGATATAATAAATGATAATACAATGGATTTTCTATTCTGTTCGATTACAAAGGTCCATGTAAAAATGGATGTTAACATCAAAGTCTGGCAGAGAAATTGGAGTTGTATATTATGTGTACATGTTATTGCATGTATGTATGTATGTGGACTGGTTAAGGAGATTGAATGAGTTAAGAAATCTTTGGAAAGTAAGGGATGCGGAATATATACGTACAGGTTATATAAAACTTTGTTTAGTGGTTTACACATTTAACTACATACCAGGGTAGCAATAATGGCTGCATCCATCTCTTTTGTGTTCATAGTCCCAGTTGTTTCAAGTGAATTGGTACAGCTTCCAGTGTCTGGAGTGTTGGGTATCCAGTGTCTTTTGGGTGTTCACCAAATGCATGTTAGACGGTGAAAAACAGATGCCCATTATTTGCTTATTTTTTGTTTGACACAGATAAAGTGATATCATAGTGATAATGCTTCTCAATAAAGCTATGTTTAGACATACGTTTATGTGTTCCAAGTGTAGAAGTTTAAGTTTTTAAAACCAGCGATCTGAGAAACCCCAGTGCATTAAGTGAAATAATAGACAAAGCGATAGGTGTCTGGCCTAGGCTCTTCATTTTTAAGACTATATGTTGTAATTCTGTGTAGAAAGTCTGACATCCAATTTATAGACATTTCTTTTAACCGTTAACCATGAATACTTATGATGGTACTATTTGTTGTTATTTGTGATCATTTACTTTGGATAAAACTCTTTGAGATATCTGACAGACAATTTTGTATAGCATTCATGCATATTATCCCGTACATGTTTTGAACTCCATTCTAGTAAAAATTACAATAAGGTATACATCTTCCTGGTTTGAATTAATAGAATGCTTAACAAGTACGTTAGAGGTCATGGTTAGATTTCCAGTTGATGGACTCTGAAACCCTGTCTATTTTACTTTATAATCGTGAACTCGGGCAAGATGGTCTGTTGGACATGAGGCCGTTAACTCTACCTCATGAATGCAACAGCACCATCGCTACCGAAACCTTGTAGCTCAAATCTCTGTGTTCCACTTTAAATATACGAGCAATCAAAAATAAAAACGGTTTTACATTTATGTTTCGTTTTATACTCATATGGTATTTGGTTGGTGGCAACTAGCAGTGGATTGCAGAACAAACTGTTTCATCCTGCTTTGAACTTGTCAGTTGGGTGTGGCTTGCGGTCCGGCAAGTGATGGTATTCCCACTTGAGGAGTGGGTGCTCGGTGTGAGTCTCAATTAGAGCATCACCACTCACTAGGGACAGGCGCACCCAGCTGAAGAGTCCTTAAAAGTTCGAAACGCACAGCTCGACTACCACTGCTGCCACCTTCAGACACCGTTGAAGCATGCTTACTAGGAGCTGTCACAAAAACAGCAGCTGAGCGTTTCGATCCAATTTAAACATAAAATAACTTTATGTTTATATACATATATTTATCCACCTTTTCTGTATTTCCCTAATTTTCACACTTCCTTTAATCAGTTTTCCCTAAAATGACAGTGTTATAAGATAAAGAACATAAGTGCTAAGAGAATTTTTATTGCACAGTATTTCGTTAATTATTAAAAGAAAGGAAGATGGTGAGGTAAAGGGGAAAGAGACAGAAAAATGTCACAAATCTTTGATCACAGCGTTTCCCGTTTACTTAGTATCACTGGATGCAACAACACGGTAAAAATTGTTGAGATAAATTGTAGAGTGTTAAGTGAAGAAGGTAAATCAGTTAAGGTAAGAATATGTGAATCTCCATCATCCAAGGTGTTTCGAACATGATAAACAGTCATCAGGGATTTCATGGATTGGTAG